AGGTGGGGTCCTAATTTAGGTGGCCGGAGACTGCCAGATGACCCCGCTCGGAGCGCCGCCCAGCGGAGCAGCAGTGACGCGAAGCTCGGCGAGGTAAGTAAGAAGAAGAAAAAAACCTGCAGCGGCGAGAGGAGCTCCGAGTGTGGTTCTAATTTAGCTGGCAGGCACCTCTGAGCCAGCTAAATTAGAACCCCCCACCTAGAGCTCCTCCCACCGGACCAGCGCTGACTCGTCGCTGCTCTCTCCGGTGTTCGAACACAGTGTATTAGCAGTATATACTCTATATGCACTACATATAGAGTACATATAGAGTACACACTGCTAATACAGTGCAGACAATACATTCACAATTATACTCTGCTAACATGAATGGATTCAATGAGCTGTATGTAGAGCTGTACTAGGGATCATTTAACCCATTCATTTTAGCAGAGTATAATTGTAAATGTATTGTTGCAGGCACTCTATATGTACTGTACATGTACTATATACTACATATAGAATGCACTGCAACAATAGATTTACAATCGTCCCCTGCTAATATGAATGGGTTAAATGATCCATAGTACATGATATGTAGCCCTGTACTATGTACTATGATATGTAGCAGTGCAGAATTGTATATCTATTGCTGCAGTGCATTCTATATGTACTGTACATATACAGCACAAATGTCCCGTACATTGCAGCAATAGATTTACAATGATCCCTGCTAACATGAGTGGGCTAAATCATCCATAGTACAACTACATGTTATGTACTATGGATCATGATTTAACCTATTCATGTTAGCAGGGGATAATTGTAACTCCTATTACTGCAGTGTAATGACGTGTGTACTGTATATGTAGTACATATATACAGCACACACCTCCACTACACTCCAGCAATAGAGTTACAATTCTCCCCTGCTAACATGAATAGGTTAAATCATGATCCATAGTACATAACATGTAGTTGTACTAGGGATCATTTAAAGTCACCTGTCTCTTTAAAAAAAAGTATTGGTAAGTGGTATCGGCAAGTACATGAGGGGAAGTACTTGTACTTGGGCCTGAAAAAGTGGCATCGGGACATCCCTAATCCTTACCCCATGACACAGAATCTTGCATGGAGCTCCAGACCGAGGGTAATTGATGGTTATTTTGTATTCCTTCCATTTGCGAGTAATCGCTCCAACAGTTGTTTTCTTCTCACCAAGCTTCTTGCTGATAGTCTTGTAGCCCATTCCAGCCTTGTGCAGGTCTACAATCTTGTTCCTAACGTCCTTTGACAGCTCTTTGGCCACCTCATGGTGGTGAGGTTTGAATGGAAGAAAGAGATTATGTGGACAGGTGTCTTTTTTTATATACATAACAAGTTGTTGTTAGGAGCACCTTCTTAAATTGACAGGACTCATATCTGTGTACCACATAGCCAGTTTGTGGGAACCAGAATTATTGTTGGTTGGTAGGGGATCAAATACTTATTTTACTCACTGAACTGCAACTCAATTTATAACATTTGTATCATGTTTGTTCTGGATTTTTGGTTGATATTCTGTCTCTATCATTTAAAATACACCTATGATAAAAATGACAGAGCTTTAATTTCTTTGTAAGTGGGCAAACTTACAAAATCTACAGGGGATCAACTAATTATTGTACTGTATGTGTTTGCATGTGTAGGAGTCACTAAGAATCCCCCATAGCCCGCTATATGGTGTTGCTGTAGGAAGACATCTCAAAATTTTGAATGTGTCTATACTCTCAACTGATACCTCTACCTGGAAAAGAGAGTTCCAAAACTTTACTGCTCTAACAGTAAAGAATACCCTATGCAGTTTGAGATTAAACCTCTTTTCTTCCATCCTAAGGTGGTGGCCTCTTGTCTTCTTTAGGAACCTAGTGGGGCTGCTTATCACAGTGATGAGTCATTAGTAGGGAACACAAGGTAGAATGAGTCAAGGCCTTGGGGATTGCTGGGGCACTCTAGAGACTTTCATATGCAACTTGCGGTCATCTGTCAGTGCCTACTATTTTTAGTGGCTTGGAAAAGCTTTCACATACTTCACTGTTTTATGACTGCTTCTGTTATCACTTGTGTAATTTAGAACCATGGTTCTCAACTGGTGGGTCGTGACCCAAAAGTGGGTCGCGGCCCCATGTCCAGTGGGGCGCCACATGCCTTCCACTTTTCTAGGTGAGAGTATCCTTGTCCTCCCCTTAGAGAAGCACTGTCAGTTCTCGCACCGAGCAGCCATTCAAAAATATGAAGCCCGGTGCCGAGTGTCGACTTGAGGTGGGGCTATGGCCGCGAGGGAGCTCCATCCATACCTGCATTGCTTACAGCTCATCACTTTCTGGCTCCCGGTACCTCTACGGGCACACACGGGAGCTTTACAAGCAATACACATATGGATGGAGCTCCATCACAGCTCAGCAGCCCACACTGGACCCCAGGTTGAGGATCCACTCCAATTTGCATAATGGCAACCCAAACACACCTCCTGCCCACAGTTCGATCGCCTGCACCGGAAAGCGCAGTACTGCAACAGGGAACATTGCAGTGCAACTTGGGTCGCGACTTAATGACCGAGGACAAATGTGGGTCCCGAGGTTAAACAGGTTGAGAACCACTG